AGCAAATTATGCAAAAAATCTAGAAAGATTTAAGCTTAAATCTCGTTTAACATTTAAAGCAACATATCAATGACTGCAACCATTGTGTTGAATACAAACCTCGCAAACTTTAAAACACGTTCTCTAGTGATACCTGCGAAAGTATTCAGTATAATTTCCAGTAAGATTTTCGCTGACAATCTGATTGATTTCTCTTACATTGTGTGCCGACACTGAAACTTTTCACCCCAAGCAAATCTCCGTCGCACGGTCCAAACAAACATAGCGAGCAACTGAGCTAGTAGTATATGTCCGTGTTAAAACACACGAAAGGACTCTAAAGCACACTTCACTCTGATTGGGCAGAAAAACACYAAGATTTTCTGGCACTAATCAGATGGCAGAACGACTGCGACCGTTTGGAACTTGTCTTGTAAGACAATGTCCCCAGGGGCTCTTCACATCCTAACTTGAAATCGACCCACAGCCCCTGGGTCTCCGAGGATGGAATATTGGTTGATTTAATAGCAAATCTCAGAGCTGAAATTATGTAAAATGTAAGGAAGACAGTGAGGGGATTTGATATTTGAACCTAGGGAATGAAGGGGCCAATAGAGGGCCAATATGTTCTACCCCTGACTAACCAAGATACAACTCATTCTAAACAAACCACTTTTGGTTTACCACATTCCCAAGTATTGGAAGCTTGGATCAATTTCACTACCTGAGGAATTGCACACCCACCCCTCCCCTAACCCAACAACAGTCGACTGATAACATGTTTGGGATAATGATGGGTTAGGGGAGGGGTGGGTATGCAGTTGCTTAGATACTTACTTTGATCCAGAAGCTCAGTGAGAAGTGTGTGCAAAGTTAAAGATAAACACTGTTAGAAGTTCAAGAGGATATTATTTGTGGAAAAGATGTTTGTTGAAGACAGACCCTTTGTTATTTACATTACATTATTTACAATTAATTTTATTTTAATTGAAAAGATGTTAAGAATTACTGCAAATATTTTCACACAAGTTTAGACAAGAGCATTAGTTAATGGATAATTACTGAGGCATAGGGCATTATGAGAAATATTGTAGCCAGCTGAGGCCTATGGCCTCAGCTGGCTGCAATATTTCTCATAATGCCATGTGCCAAAGTAATTATATATAATTATTGATCCCCATGAAATCCTATTGTTGTGTCTGTGTTGGATCTTCGATTTTAGTCGCACCTATGTGTGATAATTGTGATGCTCATTGCTATTGTTCTTTGTTGTGATGAATATATCTTAGACTTGTGCTGAGGGTTGTTATTGTAGCTCGTTGTTCAAAACAGTTCTAATGATGGAATTAATTCGTGCAAGGTGTGTAACACTGCTAATTTGCATACTTTATAAGCCAGAGAATTCAGTCATTTTACTCAGTGCGAACCTGGGTTTAGAAAGAGGATGGATTCATCGGAAGACGAAGGATTATGATTATTTTCTACACAGAGCTCTACGAAGGCAGATATTTGAGCAGAAATCGAAGATAATGTAGTGTAACATTTGGACATTTCTGTCAGTGCTTTAATTCTTTGTCGACTTCTAAAGGCGGCGTTTCCATTTTCTTTTTTTAAATAGAGCAAAGATTTAGACCACCAATTACAGCTTCAGAATACAAGAAATTTGACAAAAGTTGGGTTTCAGACGCCAGCCGCCGGAAATGGGCGTGGACTTTGAAAGTCTTTCAGGAGTGGAAGAAGCAATATTTTTAATAATTGTAACCTGCACACTGCAATATTTTTAATATTGCAGCTTGCACACTGCAATATTTTTGATATTGCAGCATGTTTATTTAGCACATTTAATTATATTACCCCTGATAATTTCCATGCTAACAAAAAGGACCGCCTCCATTTTCCTCATACAGTTGTTTTGTCATCTTAAAGACTACAATCGTTGATTTAATGCAGAGAGAGAACAATAGAATTTCATGGGGATCAGTAATTATTCAGAGGTTATGTTGCACGTTATAACAGATCAAGTTATATAGAACAAAGATGTGTTACACTGTACCTGGTGCAATTGAAGAAAATCAGTAAGACAATATATCCAGTATTAAAATATGACAAATGTACAGCCAGGAGGTTTAAGAACTCACCGTAGCTCCTCGTGCAAGCACCCGCCTCTAGTAAGCGCCCTTCCCCCATGGCGCAAATTCTTAGCCATTGACTGACCAAGAGGCCAAAATAATTTGAGTTGCAAATAATTTCACATGTTTGGAGAAATATAAGCATTTTTTATTATCTCTCAGTTAGAGTGACCACTGTGATTGGTCAGTTCAGCACACCACATTTCACCGTAAATTGAAAAAGTTTGTTTCTCTGTCTGTACCGTAAGTTACAGGACATTGTTTAATTGCACTCAAACTTATGGCCCACATGCTTTGTGCTCAAGCCATAAATCCAAGCAGAAAAAAAATTGGTCCGTTACTTACAGTATGGACCTCAAACTCAGTTAGTGAGAGGTATGTATGGAGGGTTTATTTGTCCAAAAACCAAAAAAATTATGCCCAGCAATTTTTATCAGCCTGCCTAGAGGAGGGCGCTTACTGAAGGACTTACGGTGATGCCAATGAATTGCTTGGCTCCTTGTCCATCCTGTTCTTTAAAGTCTACTTCCCAAATTGATTTTTAACTGGATCAGGGATCAACATGTTTCACATTGAAGAAAAAAAAATTCAGCACATAGTGAACATTGGCCAGAATGTGTGTCATCTCAGTGAGAAAAGTCCTGAAAAAGGACTGGTTGGAAACCTCGGTTGTCAAACTGTTGACCTCAGCAGAAGTCATCATCAGAGTCATGAAAAAATGTTTTTTCAGACTGAGCCTTTCCTGGTAATCTTCTTTTGAAAAAATAGTTGCCAACATGTGATCCACAGTATCTGTTTGAAGATGGCATTCATGCCTTTTTGCATATTGATATTTAATATTATAGTAATCTTAATGATCTTTAATTCAATCAAAATCAATTTTCAGTTGACAGAAAAGAAGCCCTTCAGACCTGACCTCACAAACCTCAAATGAGTGGCAAATATCCTATTAAAAATATAAGATACCAAGGAGAAATTCTTATATGGCAGTTGTGATTTTTAGAGCCAGCAATCAAACCTGTCAGTGGATCAGTAAGGGTGAGGTATTTAGTAGTTACAATTAGGGCAAGGCAAATTTTGAGGAGTATTAAATAAGACATTTTTAACACCATCATTGAGTTTTTAGCTTTTTTAATCAAAATCAAAGAAATTTAGTTTGATTGCAGAAGTCTCCAAGAGCAGATACCAAACATGTAACAGCAGGTGTAACGTCACCATGATTTATGTTCAAATCACTATTATAACAAATTACTGTTTAGATTTATCCACTGAAAGACTAGATTTATAAATGTGAGAAAGTGCTTAAATCAAATCAAGTGTAAAAAGATTTACAGGTTAAGACTGAAAAGAGCAATATTTTTTATCAAAGTAGTAAATTCTGCCTTTCTGTATAATAAGTATAACATGGATGACCTAACTTAACTCGCATCCAAAAATCTCTTATGAATGTTCTAACTGGTTAAAAACCTAGGGCTAATTGCATCTGTAAACTTGTAATTATTTAATTTAAGCAATAAACTACCCTCTTTGTCAGTTAACCAACATCAAAACCCATTTGGCATGTTTAGACATTGTGAGAAAAGTTTGTAAATCCCGAGTGAAGTAATTACACTTAGTAAATTGGTAGGAAGAACAGTTTCTCAGGGGCTTCATTAATGTTTTCTGCAGGAGGGCAACTGGTTTTCACAGGCGGGCAAAACTCTTTGAACTGAACTTCTTTATAAGAAAAACTTTCCTCCAGACTATCAAATCAGGTGGGCAAAGCCGTCCTCACAACTGGTCAATTTGCCCGGTGCCTGGCCCTTAATGAAACCCCTGGTTTCTCAAATTATTCAAGGCCCCTATTTCTCATTAAATGCTCTTACTGATATTTCCAAAGTTATAACTTCTTAAAAGGAGAAAAAAAACTTACTTTAGTAACAACTGAACAAAAATCATGGAGTTAAAGACCTACAAACTTTATCAAAACATAGTTTACCTAACTGCATAGTTAAGTGAATTTACAAGAAATGGTAACTCTATACATTGATAGACAATATTTGGAGGCTCACAGAATTATCTGAGATTAAAAAATCATCACGCCAATTTTGAGCAACAATTCTTTAAGGATACAATCTATTTATGGTGATAAAAGTGTCAAAATATCTTCTACAAAATACTTGAAAATTTTAGGAAATTTTACAATATTTAACAACATTTTCACATCGTCTACAAACTGTAATTTTCTTGCATATAAATTTAAAAAATTTTTACTATGTTTTTTTTATCTTAGGTGTTATTTCAAAATGATGACATTTAAACAGATGTTTCCATCCTAAAAGACCACCCTGTTTAGAATTAATAATAGAAAAAATCATGTGTTAAACAACAGTAACTTTTTAGTTGATTCCACCATAAAATTCAATTATAACAATGTCCATTTAAGCAAAGAGTTAACTAGAGTGTTTCAGGTTTTCATTTATTAATAAATATATGGCTCTAAATTAAAAATGATTTTATTTGTTGGCAATAACTGTAACTGTTAATGATTCAATAAATTCAACAAACGTCACAAAAAAGTCTTACTTTATTAGTCATCTCCCATTCTCCCAATTTCCCTCCCATTCCTGTACATTTGACTCCCGTCCTCTCCCCCTTCAGTGGGAACATTTCCAGTTATTAACTAACAAAAGGTTTCTATCTTTAAGTTTCTGCTTCATGCCTTTTCTTCTCTCGTCTCCTCACCCCTCCCATCTCCTGTTCCTTTATGCTCCTGTCCCCCTCCTCCCATCCTTTAAACCCTTCCTTTGCTGATTTGGTTGTCACCATAGCATGCAGCTCTAAAAAATTGCATTTCATCAACTAGTATCCTTTCATCAACACCATCTGTGTGTTTTTCTGCAGTTCACTTACTTTTACTTGGGTCTCCACCTGCTGTAATGAGTCTCAGTACTTTGCCAAGTTCTTCAACTTGTGCTTCCCAAACATCAACAAAGACTTCCATATTCTCCTGTGCAATCTTGCTGACAGGATGAGCAGCTAAAGTTCTTGCAGCATGTATAACCTAACAAGAGAGAATATGCTCCAAAATTAATAATAATAACAATAATCAATAGTAATCTTTATTTAATGTGGAGAAACACTTAGCTGAAGGCTAGTTTACAGGTTTTCCACCAAACAACTGAAACAAATAATTCAAATTGAAAATAACATTATTAAGAATCCCATCTGGGATTCAAACCAGTTGGCTATTTACAAGCATGGCCAAGGATTTGAACTGGGAGCTACGGTGAAACAAATCCAGGTAGTGGTCAGGGCGGGACTTGAATCCGGCAGTGGGGGATTGCTAGTCAGACATGCTGACCACTCAGCTACACTGCCTTTTCGAAAAGGGGAAAGGTTCTAAGACTGGTTCATTACCAACTTGTGTTCATAGCATGGAATTAAAATAACTGGAATTACATAAGGGTTGAGTTTGTAAAATGTAGTCTATGTGAAAGACCACATGAAATTCAAAGAAGAGCGAGAATTTATTCCAGTTTCCATGGCATGAAGCAACTTAAAGCATTGCTACTTTTATTGGATGAGATGTTACTACATCACTATCAACCTTCCAGCACTTTCTCAAGCTTCCCTAACAATAAACTTGTGCCCATTTGTTTGAGTGGCATGCAGTACTGTTAGAGTCTGACACCTTGCCTTAAAACTTGAAACATAGTCACAGCTGGGGCATGCACCTTTAAACCTGGTGTTCAATGTAGTAACTATTAAACTAATGTATCTTCTAATTATTGAGTCAATGCTGGATAAACATTCTTACCTGAGGACAAAGCGTATCAATATTTTCTTCTACTTTTTTTGCTGTAATGGCCATGGGTTTATTGGATGCCATATTTCTTGTAACCCTAGATACCTTAAACCAGATTGAAAAAAAAAAAAAAATCACAATTTGCATGAAACTTTTAGTGCATTGTAATCTCAACAACAAGCACCAAGGAACAAGAAGACCAAAAATTGCTTGACCATGGTGGGGTGAGGGCATTTTTTAAGAGTTCTAAATAGGAAATGTGAGAAAAGAAAAATGGTTTTTAATAAAAGGAAAATATTATTGGGCTATTAGGGGTGAGACTAAGGGTGACCTTGTTAAGATACAAATGTGGCTGTCTTTATAATGTACACAACTTAGTTATCATGCTAACTAGATACTGGTCTGTATCAACCTCACTCCAAACCAAAGGCTTAGCAAGTAAGCACACCACTGTAAAATGGTCTATTCTGCATAGAAGCTAAGAGTGTTCTCTAAACTCCAACACCAGTTTTACACCCGGCACTTTATGAATAACTTTACAGAGACAGAATTTTTTTGCTCACCTCTTGTAATCGTTTTGCATCTTGTGTGAACACATTGGCTAGACTCTCCAGCTGAGCTGAACTGCCAGATGCAGCTGCATTCCTCAAGGCAGGTAAAGACTTCTTGTGACCTAAATGTGAAAAAGTCTCAAACACTTGATCTGTAGCTACTTGATGGACCTGTTGGGATCAAAGAATGTCTGCAATTAATATACACTTCTCTCTCTGATCATTCCCTTTCAGAGAACTCCTCACTCAGGTGACAAACTTTTCTCTACTTTACATGTGAAGATTGTTGCATATATATCAAGGCTGTGCTCTATGAAAAATTGAAAGGAGCCCAGAGCTCTGAAACTGTGAAATCCAGGGCACCCAGCATATGCTTTTTAAGAAAAAAAACTAAGATTCCTGAGTCACCTCAGAGCAAAAGTAAGGTACCAGGGGTTACCAGGCACTGCTAGACCACAGCTCTGCATATACAGCATTGCTTAAATCTTAGTTAAAATCACTTAAAAAAGTTAATCCTTTTATTCCAGAATACATTGAGGAAAGAAGCTTAAGTTAATTTTGAGCATACAAAACAATGATGATAAAAAGACTTCAAGTAAGTCTGATTTTTTCTTGTTTGTTTAAGGAGAAGTAGCTTTACAAAGGAGAAAAATTCAATCAACTGGAAACCATTTTGACCTCAAATACTTACCACTTTCTTATTCTAATTTCAAAACATGACACTATCAACATTACTGATGCTAGTCATATGAACTTCATTATGTGCCTTGCTCACCAGTGTCTCTGTGTTCGGTGGTAGTGCATTGGACTGCGGAATTCAAAGGTCTGAGGTTTGATTCCTCATGGGGATGCAGATTTTTTTCTATGTCCCATGATCATGACAAGATTAAAAACGTCTTTCTCTGATAGTCCATTTTACAGTTGTGTGCTTGGTTGCCAAGCCTTTGAATGGGAGTGAGGCTAGGGATGACCTTGTTGTGATACAAACCTTGCTTCCTTTCAAATGTAAATCACTTTGTTATCATGCTAACTAGATACAGGTCTCTATCACAACAATAAAGTCACCTTCAGCCTCACTCTGAATCAAAGGCTTGGTAACTAAGTAAACAACTGTAAATAACCTATTCATATCCAGTCTGGTCCTTTTAATTTTGCAGATATTGCAGATGTAATATTAAATTGCAGAAGTCATACCTCGTGTCTAAGATCTTTTGAGGTTTTGCAAATCCTCTGCAATGCCATATCTAATGTGTCGATACTGGTTGCATCTTCATTCTGGAGAAGTACAAGATGCGATTGGAATGCAAGTCTTTTCACAATTTCAATACATTATTCAGCCAACAGCAGATGAGAAAAAAACAACTATTATGTTTAGTGAAACAATGACAATACATCAAATTCTCCCCTCTAATTTACAAATAAAAGTTTACCTATAGGAGCTATAGAGGAGAATGTCAAAGGAGATCCAAAGAGTTTATGGGTTTTAAGTCTAAACTGTGGATATAAGTTAAAAGTTACCTTGTTGTTCTTCTGTCTTTCTAAAATGTCTTTCATGATGTCCTGTGCATTTTCACATAGGGCTAAAATTTTTTCTCTCTTTTCCTTCCTCATATGTGGAGAATCCATAACAGACTGCACGTCATCAAGGATATTGGCAAATGCTTTTTGAAATTTTATCTTGGATTCACTGTCATCTGGTGAGCTTTGTTTGTATGCCTCTAAGCAGGCCTGATCATAAAGAAAGATCAGAAAATCAAACAAAAATCTATGCTAGGATCTGCAGTGTTTTCCTTTCCAGGCAGTAACTGCCAGGGCTCGACATTAATGGTAGCCCACTAGCCACAGACTAGTAGAAATTCAGTTTTGGCTAGTGGTTTTTTATTTCCATGAGCCAGTTTGGCTAGAAAACAAACTGAAATTGTTATAACATCTATGTTGTCACTAACAACTTGGCTTGTAAGTTGAAAAGTTAGTGTTGAGCCCCGACTGCCTGTAGCACATTTACCTCTTATTACCTCCTAAAATCACTTGGAATTCTTGAAAATTTAATCCATAAAAGGATTGCTTTGCCAATTTGTAAATTTATTTTCACCTGTCATGCTTAAAATAAGGGAGAACAATAGATCTTGACCCCCTTAGTAATAGTAACTAAACAACAGAAAACTCCTAGCCAAGTTTGGTGATGTACTGGGTTTTCAAAAGACAAGCATACTGCATTCTGCCAGAATCAACAATATTGAAGATTATCCCATGCCTAAAGAACTCACTTCAAAATGTACTAAATCCATCGCCAAACATCCCTTTTCTGTGTCTTCCTCCTTATGCTCATCTTGGACCACTGACGTGATTGTTGCCATGGCTTCTCTCATCTTCTTAAAAACACCTTCTCTGTTCCCTTTGGCAGACCTGGAGTCTGGATGTCTCAAACATGTCTAATTATGATAGAAACAAAACTATGAATATAAATTCTAATTAAGCTTTTACTAATAATCAATTTTATATCAACAGAACACTCCTTGACAAAGCCACATGTGGCAAAAGGTGTATGATGTTTAAGTGTTTACCTTTGATGTTGTCAACAACATCATTGTGGACTTCTCCAAAATAGACCGGGCAGCTCCCATTTCAGCTTTCAAAGTATCATCTTTTAAATCCTGGGTTTTCAATTAGAAAAAAAGTAACTAAATATCAAATGCAGAAGGCTGGTCATTGTTTAAATAGATAACAGTTGTCCCTTTAGCTTTCCATAAAAGGATGCCATGAGGTTATTTTTTATAGGATTACAAACAAAAGAAAACTTCCATAAAAAAGATGGGCCCAGAATGATTTCAAGACTCATTGACTTCATGCAAACTTGAGGTCACTGAGAAGAAGTAATCATGAGCAGGAAGTGTTCTCTAACAGGAAGTGCTCACAGACAGGAAGTAATAATTGAAACACAGTGATAACCAACAGGAAGTGTTTGCTTAGGAGGGGCATTCATTCAAGGAGGGGCTTAGTGGATCATTACAAGCAGGAAATAACATAGCCATTTGTCATCAACATTTTTCTTAAGGCCACTTTGAATTTGCTTTTGTTGAGCTTACATCATTTTCTTCATTCATTTGGGTCAGTCGTTTTTCTTTTTTGTTTTCATGCATTTTAGTTTCAGTTTAGAAGTTCAGTCTTGCGAATAAAATAATTTCATCAAACCCACTATACCTAGGCCTCTTTCTTATGGTGAGGTTTCCTCAGATTTCCCTGAAATCCTTCGGTCAAGGAACCGTGACCTGAAAACTACCCACAATGCCTTTCAGGATGGTCCAAGCACCTTTGTAAATATACCAAGACTTTTTTTAAACTTACATTTTGTCTGTCACCTGACAAGTGGGCAAGTTCAACCATATCTGATCCAAACTGACTAAATGCCTGCACAAAATCTGTAAATGTGTTCACAGTTTCCAGCTGCTTTAACCTATCATCAACCTGAAAATTGAACATCAAGCTCCCCTCAATTTTCAAGTTTACTGTCACACAATAATTCTCTTGTCTAGTTCACAAATGGATTCCATGTCACTTTATAACATAACCAAAGTAAAGCGCACACTCTGATTGGTCAATTTAGCATCCACCATTTGCCCATGGGTGTGCACTGCTGACATGAGTAAATGCAAAGACTACTTTTCTGCACACACTTGTTTTTTCTGGTCAAGTAAGTCTGTGGAGTGAAAGAAAACTCTTGCTACAATAATGTATCAATGTTATCTTATGAAACAAACGGTAAATGCCTCAGTGTATACTATTGAGTTATGGATGCACTTGGGAGGTTTGTTAAGCATTCAAGAACCTAGAGTTACTCTTGGCTATCACCTTAGGCGACTCATACACTTCTTCTGTGCTTAGCAACCTCCCACATGCATCCATAACTCAGTGGTGTATACTATAGTGTTTAAGTATGTCTGTTCAATAAAAAATCACAGATGACCTCCAAACGTGGTTAGAACAAAAACGTAGCACACAAGGCAGAGCCAAGTGTGTCACTAATGTTCTTATTACATTTTATCCCCTTACATTCTAACATCAGTATGCATATTCTCCAAACTGTTCTCTATATATTCCCTAAGGTGTGCTGACAAAGAGAATTTGTTCGATAATCTAGAGCTTTTTAACTTGGTGATCTTTTCTGTTATTCTTGTGACCTTAATGTGTGATTCAGGGATCATCTTGTAAGGAGAAATTAGAGATTAGTCACTCTTAAGGAACAAAGAGTTCACATGTTCCATGATCTACTTCTGTGGTACTTGTCTTATAAAAAAGGAAAATGTTGTTAATGGTGATTTCATGTATGTCTCTCTACTCAATAGATCATAAGCAAGAGCTAATCAAAATGCTTGTAAAATTCTCTCTTACCCTTTAAAATATTCTGATATCATATCAATGTTGTTGTGCTGGTGAACTCACAAATAGAGTTGGTCACAAAGTTACTTTTGGCCACAGTATGTAAATAAGTGTAAATGAAAACTTCAACTCTCAAACCAAGTGATAGAACCAAAAAGAGGAAACTCTAAGAATTGATCAATTATTTTGCAGCTCTTCAGTTAAGAAGAAATATCATCTACAGGTAATGGTACAAAATCTTGAATTGTTTGAGCATTACTCTGCCTAATTATACATGAACAAATCTGACACTTTCCCACGGAAACGGTTCATTTCGATTTTCACTAATGCAGGATGCCTTTATAACTATGCGAACCGTTAATCAACAAGATCACTAACAAAACCATGGAGAGCTGGTAGAAAAATAATCAGAGGAACAAGATGGCAATTATTCATAAAAATGAAACCACGCAATTTTCATTGACACGGTGGAGTGAAACTGATATACTGGGTAATTTAAATCAACACAACGAAGCCATTTGAAAGGTCACTCCACAAAATGAAGTGTGCAATAAATTTTAACTCTTCCGTCGTAAATGACTACAATAAAACCTAAGATCATATGTTAAACAAAAAACGATATCAACAAACTTAAAGAAAAGACCTGTTTCACAGGGTGACCCTACAAAGCGGATGAACTAAAACAACGTAAACAAACTTTGCAGGTTTCAAAACTTACTTGTCTTTTGTTTACAAACAGTTGATTGGGTTATTTTGTAGGAAAACTATACACTTCTTTCGGGGTTCTAACGCGTTTGAATTACACAGTTATTCCAACATAGAGATTAGATATTAACTGAGATATCGTCTATTTTAGAAGAACGATAAATTTAAGTAGTGTTGAGTTTCGATAGAGGCACGAGGAAATTATGTAAGAAATGTTAATAGGTGCAATTGGGAGAATGGGTGAGTAAACAATAGTTCTGTAATCAATCTACGAATACTTTTACGACCGCTTTTGCGTTCCGATCATTCATACCAAAAAATACCGAACAATTGCAACTTTTCGACTTACAGCAGGTTTCTCGCATGCAATATTAATTCACAGACAATGCAAAAAATTTACAAAAAACATATCATAACTATCCATTTTCACCTCAAGAAAATGAGGCTAATTCTGTTTGCCACCATACAAGTGACCTCGCTGCTAAAAGATTCTCAAATAGACAAAAAAATGTGTAATTGAATAACCGAAAATCGTTTAAAAGAAAGTGGCGGAGAGCATTCATTTTCGCAATAAATTTTCGGTGAGACATTTATTTAAAATAATATCATGCAAAAACCTTCCGAGTTCGCCTCTAATTGGAGAAATCAACTGTTATTTCTTAAGTTCTTATTGTTTGCGCACTTCTGAAAGGAGAACTAAGAAACAGAATAAACAAAGTTGGAACAAATGATCTTCAATTAATCGCTTCAACCTTACGCCGAGACAGCTAGACAAAACTAACACAAAGCTGACTTCCCAAACACAAATATTTCCCAATCCGTACCTTTTTAACTGCTGCTAGAAGTCTCTTCACAACAACAGAATCTGCAATTATTAGAACTCTTGTTACAGCGGACAATAATGATCGTGCTGCACGAACCATGTTAGTCTTGTCTGTGCCGTTCGGTACACCATCGCCGTTAATAGAATCGCCCGTAAAACTTGTCAGAGTAAAAATTGTTTGTCCGGATTTTTTGGCTTCTTCACACGCCATACGCATTTCTTCTGCAACGTCTTCATTTTCTGATGCGATCTGTTCCCCAACACTAACAAAGCGTTCGACAGCAAGTGCTACAACTTTTCCAATCTCATGAATTGCTTTCAAAGCTCTCTCAGATCGCCGTCCATGGTCTTTGTGGTTTACAAGCGTCGTTATCTGTGAATTTTAGAACACAAACACAACTCTGTAAGTGACAAGTCGAGCATGAAAGTCAGAAGAGTTACTTTACGTTGAGATCAGAATAAACAACCGCACAGATCAAACACATGTAGAATTTTTGTCGTTTACAAAAAGCTTGTGTCCCAGCTGAAACACCGCTGTTGTCGTCATGGATGAAAAAGCGCCGAGAAAAATTATTACCTGAGTTACAAGAGGCACCAGAGTTTGCTCCACAGATTTGCTACGAATTTCTAAGTTTTTAGAATCCCACTTGGCCATCGTACTTTGAAACGTTTAGCGGCAAAAGCCCCGAAGGCTCTATAAGCTTAGTACTAACTCAACCTACCGCCATATCGAACTTCCGATCAACTGTGATCACACACAAGGTTCTGCTCTACGTACCTGTCAATCAATAATTCATGCTTGACTGCCCTAAGTCACCGCTTACGGAGACCTTGCATAATTTGGCGCCAATCTTCCCGTAACATAACATTCAGTAGAACTAATCTAAAACCCAAAACGCAAAATAAATAATACGTCTAAATCTTTGAATTTTTATGACATTTTTTGTCGGCTTCCACAAAATATTCGTGCCGACTTCCGGCTTGAAGAAGAGGGTGGGACTGAAATAAAAACGAGTTGAAAATATTCTTTAGATTTTAGATTATTTCAGTGGAAACAAGTTGAGTCACGCCCGTAACAGAAAAACACGATATTAATTTCTCTGATCTTCGCCGAGGATGATGGTTATGCCAGTGTTTTTGTACCTTCATTGTACTTTCAAATTAAGGACTGAATTGACTTTCGTCTACCAATTTAATCGAGATAAGAAAATTTGATATCTAGATCAACGTTAAAATCAAAATTGAAAACTAGCTTTTTCATTTTCAATATTGGCCGTCCATGCACTGTATCAAGGACCTGAAATATTTTTAAGAGGAAACTTTATCTATTGTACTCTCGTTAACTTCATTGTTCTTCTTAAAAAAATTTTTACGATTTTGGCGTTAAAAAATTAATAGATTTCAAAGATTTTTTTAACCCGCCTGAGGTGATGCTCAACACATTTCAGATTTACAAATAAAATATTGTAGTTAAATCTCAAAACTGCTTTCTTTTCTAAGCTGTACTACAAAACTGGCATTTTGAGGCCATAGGTCCTCAAAGAATACTTGTTAAGTATTCGCATAATATTGAAAAGTTTTCGTTCCTCCAAGGAAGTAATTGCTGACCAATAAGTAAAAAAACAAGTCAATTATTTATATTAGTCAAATTTTCAGTAATTTTTTCGCCATGCTTAACCGACAAAATAAATGCCTTAGTTTGTGACTGGGAATATTTCTCTTAAAGTTTTTAGGGCAGGGTGAGTTCTCGGTTTTCAATTCCAAACTTTTAAGCCGGATAGCATAATTTCGGTTAAAAATTGTTGTAATTCAATGATCAAAAATGCCTATCTCGAATTTGCCTCACAGCAAATGCCCGCTATTTGTTATAAACCGATTTTGAATCTTTAACTCGCCCTTGTGTTTGGATACTCCAAAATTTGGCTTTGAAAAAAGAAAAAAAGCTTAAATTTTGGGATTTTTTAAAATTCCACTCCTCGATCTTTCTAAATTTCGAGCGTTTCAAATTACATCCTACGTGGGCTGTGGGTGCGATCAGGGTTGCAGCAGAATGTGGCCTAATTTTGGTTGATATCTTAAAAACCTTTTCCCCGAGCGTTGCGCAGATGGCAACAATTATAGTCACTCGATGAACTTTGTCATTTAGAAATGAAAGTATTCAGACTATTAATCTACGACATGTAGGGACTAGTCATTATTTTTCGTCTGGGGTGAGGGGTGGAGGATTTAGGGGATCACATGGTTTTCAAGGGGAACTGAGGGGAAATAAGCGTCGCCAA